GAAGCTTGACGAAGGAAAATGTTATTCAGCATAGACCATACGAAACATTCGAACAAGATCCAACGAGCAAAATTTGTAGAAAACATTTATACTGATAAAAGCAAGCATTGATAGACGCTAACCAGCTTTGATGGAGGCATCGGCTTGAGCAACGTTACGAGCCATGGCAGTTAGCAGCGCGATCCCATGCTCTGCCGCGGCGACAGTGTTAGCGGTTGGAGCATTAACGACAAGGCATCCATGCTCGGTGGCAGCGGCCAGATCCACGTTATCAATCCCCACGCCAGCTCGTCCGACGACCTTAAGCCTTCCATCGGAGGACTCAAAAACCTCACGAGTGACCTTGGTTCCACTGCGAACAATCAACGCATCGCAAAGCGAGATCTTGGTGCAAAGCTCTTCCGGACTCAAATTATAGGAGCAGTCGACGTTGGCGAAGTCCTTCAAGAGATTGATTCCAGCTTCGCCGAGCTTTTCCGCAACCAGGACTGTAGGTTTGGCGTCCATAGCGAAAACCACGAGCCTGGGGGAGTGGCGATGGTTGCTGCCGCAGCCACGGAGGGAGATGGCGGCTAAGGCGGAGGGAAGTGGAAGCTGGTTCTTCCATGAAAGTTTAGACGAGGGCGAGGGTTTTGAGATGAAAAGGCTCGTCGAGGAAGCTGAAGCCGCCGCCATTACAGAAAAATCAGATTCGAAATCTTTTCCCTTTCCTTTCTGGGAATTGATGATGGTTGGTACGAAATCGCGCAGCAGGGGAGTGGGGTGGCGGCCGGGGAATTGGAAAATGAGACGTCTTTATAGTGGTATCCGTGGAAGTCGGGGCTGGGGTGACGCAAGTGTTAGTAAGGGAGTGAGTGAGCTCTGAGCAGGATAGGAGATTGTGATTTGAGATGGAGGTACGGATTTGGCACGCGCCTCAGTTTTGGGAGGGAAATTCGGTCAAAATGGAAGGGAGGGTGACCTGCACGGATATTCGTGAGTGTGGCATGTAAAATTGTAAATTGGATTGTAGTACTTTTTTTTCTTTTTTTTTTCGACACAGGGGTGTCGGGTACTTTCTCTCCTTGATCTTTACAATTCGTCGATGGATTCTTGTAGCTCGCTTTGAGAGAGTGGAAATTGGAAAGTAGGTTCGCAATGCCTAAATGCCTAAATGTTATGGTAGTTTTTTTTTTTTTTTTTTTTTTTTTTGTCAAAACCTAAATGTTATGGTAGTTGGTGAGGCCAAAAAATGGTAAATGGATTAATGCCAACTTTCTCTTGGTCCTTGCTTTCCCCTCGTACCCTTCTTTTTTTTTTTTTTAAGTAGTAGCATATTCCCTATTTGACCTTCTTTGATCCAACTAGGAGGTTGTAAAACTGCCGTGGTTTTGCGCATATTATATGCTCAGGATTATGTTTGATTATGTTAAAAATAGATTTGAATGTACAAGTGTGTGTTTGTTTTTCCGCATTAAATAGTAGGAGAATATTTTAGAGATTTAAAAATATGATTGTTTATTGTGAAAATAATTTCAATTTATATTGGATATCTAATCTATATCTATATAGATTTGAGAAGGGATTTTTAGCAAAAAACCTCCACACACCTTCCTGCTCTCAATTCTATTTTTCTAGCATTTCACATTTAATTTATTTCATAAAATATATCATGTCCACGTTTGAAACACACAATCATGTTTCTATCAAACAAGAATTCTACTCCAATTAATACTCCTCTCTTCACACACCTTACCACTCCAATTAATACTCCTCCAATTAGTAATTACATTTCGATTAAAACTCCTCCAACCTAGTAATAAGAGATAACAAAAAATAATTTCACTAAAAACCGCAATTTACCATCTCTTTCAACTTTTTTCTGATATCGATCTTAACCCTCAACTTAATTTGCAATCACATCTACGTTAAAAATTCTCTTAATTAATTAATTAATGAACAATTATCTACATATTATTTTGAATTAATGATTGTAATCTATACGTTTTTTGAATGGTTTTAGGTTAAATATTTTAGGATACTTTCTTACATTCAAAGCGTTAACATGGACAATATGTTTCATGAGTTATGCAAAAAATTGTGGACAATTGTATCAATCTCATTTTTCAAAAATGGTGTGTATTCATTGTAATGACGTAGTTGACACTATTGTCAGGTAATTATTTTCATATATCTTTAATTTTAGTTACATTTTTTTTATTGTATATCACACTTTCTTCTTAACAAATACAATGTTAACATACAAGTTAGAGATTCCAGTGGTAATCTATACCTCGCTCTTCAAGACAAACACGCACGATTCATATTTCGGTGTGATAATTCTTATCTTAGAGATTTAAAAGGGAAAGTATAATTTATTTATACATATATATATTTTTATACAATATTATTTACAAACTTTCTCAAACAAATGATAATTTTGAATTCCATATGCTATTTAATTGTTAGGAAAATTGAGGTACATTGTTCGACGAACACATTAATTCATGCAAAAATCGTGCATTCTCATTTATAGTACGGACTCCACAAAATTCAACATAATTAATTAAACCTCCAATACTGGCATTCATACTCATAGTTGATTGGTATGAAGAATGTTTCCACCTTCATAGAAGATTATCAAATTGAATATAAAATATTTGTAAGTATTTCATTTATTTATCAAATTAAATATTCAGTTATATTTAATTGAATCCTTATGTCACTCAATTTATGTTATAGATTTCTACTTTTTTTTCAGGATCCAACTTCCATTAATATGGTAGTTTATAAATAATTGGGATGTTTTTATCATATATTGAACTATTGCTACAAAATCTCACTTTTTAACTATACTTTCACGTGCACTAAATTATAAGAACAATTACATACATTTCTTACTCTATTTAAATTCCTCTCTCGATTATAATTTCTTCCAAAAATATGATCTACCGTGAGTAGCACGGGTGTTTAGACTAGTATATATATAGTGAAAATGGTGTGCTCAAATTAACAAGTATTTAAATTACAATGAACAAACACATTTTCTTGAGCCAAGTGTGGCAACTATAATCATTTCTTGCATTGTAAATAGGGATAATTTCATAAACCTCCCCTGAGATTTCTGATAATTTCACTCACCTCTCTTGAAGTTTGTAAAATCACACAAACCTCCCTTAATGTTAAGATTTTGATAACAAAGTTAGTCCAATTAGAAAAAAATAATATAAAAAAAGCACTTTAAGGAGAGAGATAAAACATTTATTTCATAAATACCCCTTATGCATGTATATAAGTAGTATTAATAAAAGAATAAAAGTAATTAAAAGTTAGAAACAATTAATACACACATTTAACCACTCAAAAATGTTCATATTTAATAAATTAGACAACACAAATAAGTAACAAAACTGCACTAATGATTAAAGATTCAGCAAAATAGACTCGTTATCTCTTTTATTATAATATTTACTATGATTATTGTGATTTTGAATAAAAAAGTTTTCGAATTTTGCCTTTTTTTCCCCTCATTTCTTCCCTTATTTCCATGAAATTACTTTACAATTGTCTCTTTTATTTTCATGAAATTACTTTACAATTGTTACAACTTTAAGAGTTTCAAAGAAAATTGAAAAGAAAGGCTTCGTTTGAATTGTTGTTCTATCTTACACGTATCAAATCACTACAATATTTTTTTTATATAAAAATTCAAAAAAATAACAATTCAAACAACAAAAAGGCTCCGTTTGAATAGATGTAAAGTCAAGTAAAAAAAATCCTGGGAAATTTATGGAAAGGAAAAATCTTTTTACATTTGGTTACCAAAAAAAAATGTTGAGAGAAAATGGGAAGTTGGTGGGAAAGTTATGGAAAGAAAAAGGAAAAATCTCTTTGCATTTGATTAGTAAAAAAAATTTTGAGAGAAAATGAGAAGTTGGTAATAATTAGCGATGATTATTAATGTTTTTTGTCTTGCAAAATTTACATGACATGAATAACAAAGGGAAAGTGTAATTAATTTTCTCACTAAACAAATACATGTCCAATTTGAAAAGGGTTGAATTGAGTGATAAGATAAGAGGAATGATAAGTTGGAGGTTTCGTTTCAACAACTCCCACTTACTTTTTTTAGAAAAAAAAAAACTGGTAACTAGAGAGAGCCCCCATTCAGTTGCATGGATCTACCAAGTACCGACCTAAGCCCACAATCGGAAGAAAAAGTGACAATGCAGGGAGGGCAAGGTCATCATGCTTAGCATGTTCGATAACTTGTGAGGTTGGCCCGCGGGACTCAAAAGAGGTAGGTAGTGATGTTTTTTTTTTGTTGGAAAAAGGGTAGTGATGCTTAAAGAAATCTTTTTTTGGATCAGTCAGGCAATCACCTTTAGTGAGATCTCCCTGCTTCGAATCCTCTGTCCCAAAAATAGTATCTGTCCCTTATTTATACAGCTGTCACGTGTCTCTAGCCTTTTATTAACCCAAACTCAAATAAATCGATAATAATCAGTTTATAAGTTTACTCAAAATCAATTAAAACAGATAACTCAAAACTTTTTTTTATTATATTTTTAACAAAAAAGAGGCTTATTGATCATAAACATAAAAATCAACTAAAATTCTTCTTTATTTTTTACCTCAAATCAACAAGACTCTTTTTTGTTAAAAAGAAAATAAAAAAGAGTTTTGAATTATTTGTTTTAATTAATTTTGAATAAACTTGTAAATCGATTATTATCGATTTATTTGAATTTGGCTAACAAAACGCTAGAGATACGTGTCAGCTATACAAATAAGGGACAAAGAGGATAGAGACTACCTGGACAGAGGATTCGAAGCCGCATTAAGCAAGCAAGCACATAGATTTGAGTCTTAACTCTGCAACTTTTCTAAACTCTTCCTATACTTGGCACAAGATTTTTTATTTAGAAAAATTTAGTCCTCCGAGAATCAATGGAAACACACGTACGGGCAATCCGTAGATGCAACAAACTTCGAAATTTGGATACAATTAAAAAGCAGTTGGGGAGTTCAACGTAGATTTATTCAAAGCAACTGATTATCCCGCCACTATGCTATGCGGGGAAGTATGGTACGTAAAAACAGTGGCTAAAACAGCGGGGCCGGTGGGTGTGGGAAGGAAAGAACGGCCGGACATCGAACATTGCCATTTGCCAAGCCCGACCGAAAAGGACCCCACAATCCACATGATTATGTTTTAGGCCCTAACTAATACTAATACGACTACTAATATGATTATTAATATGTTTTGGAGCTCAAAAGCTTCTTATTACACACAATCAGAGACAGATTATCAAATTATTGCTAACTTGCGCCAAGTTGGCCCCATGGTCGTCTCTCATCCCTCGTTATTGCTCTCTCATCCCACGCACAAAACATACCATACCCCATTACAAAGAGGTAACTAACTTCATTCATACCGAAGAAGAAGAAGAAGAAGCGAAATTGGAAAGGTAAGCATCGGCTAACATATGACCCAATTGAACCTGAGCCTGCGTAGTTAAGTGGGGATGATCTTCCTTGAGCTGCAGCCCTTTAGCATCCACGCATACCACATTCTCCATTTTCATCCCCATCTGTGCTTCCCTTATCTTTTCCACGTACTTTCCATCCCCCGAAGCTATTGCCACCTAATTGATAAGTTGCTGTAATTACAAGCAGTGCCTGACCCACCTTTTTTTTTTAATTTAAAAAAAATTACTAAAAAAGTGTCAACTAACCTGAATAATGGGAAGTGAGGGCAAATTAAGATCAGCACGGACATTCTTAATCAATGTCTCCATCTTAGCCTCATAGCATTCTGCATCTTTGTGCGACGACGTATCACTCTCACCTTGGTACCAAAGCATCGCCTTAATTTCACCACCGCCGCCGTTATGATGCACGGCGGCTTTGACCCTCTTGATCATATTCTCATACAAGTGGGTTCCACGTTCCCACTCTTTTATGGCTGTCCCGCCCACAGCACAAGGCACTAGGCCTACGATCCCCGCTCGCTCCTTCACTGCGTTGGCAAATGACATCCCCGGTCCCACCCCACATACTTTCTTGGTGTCGATGTCGTGGTGGAGTGGCTCACGCGCCGCTTCCCAGCGGAGGTGGGCGGTGAGGCGGAAGATGTTGGAAGGGTCCGGGGTACATTCTGGAGGAACGACGCCGTCCCAGTGCTTATGCTTAGAATGGTGGTCACGATTCACGCCGCCCCGGCCGGCCATGTTGCTCTGGCCTGAGAGGATGAAGATGTGTTTGGTGGGTTGGGCTTCATTTCTCTGAGTTGAGTTGTGCAGCTCCATGAATTGGAGGCTATCGGGTTTGTTTCAGATCCAGGAGGCCTTCCCAAGTGGCGGTGTTAAAATGGGGTTTCTTGGTTTTAGGCTTTTAGTGGTCTTTGGATTCCAATGCCAATTATTTTAGTCTTGTACTAGGTACTGGCTAATTATTTAGTCTTGTACCTGGTACTGATGTCATATACTTTTTCCTTTTCTAATTTTTGTGGGGATAATTTTAGAAACTCCTTGAGATTTTTGATAATTTTGCTAGCCTTCCTTCAAGTTTTGAAAATATTGCAAACCTCACCTATTCATATATTTTTATAGCATGTCAGTCCAAATTAGAAAAAAGTGAGAACAAAATATTTAATTTTAGGTTGGATTGCACATTATTTATACCTTATTTACACGCATTGGCTTGTTTGCATCATCAATGCGTTTTTCAACTATATTTTTATTTTACATATATCTCATCAAAAAAGTGTTACAGTATTTTTTTCAAAAAATTATCCCAAATAATCTCCTATCCAAATACACTCGATAGCTTTCAATTTCAAAAATACCCTTTAGACTTCTAGCATCACCGATTTTTTTTTTCAAATCTTATCTTTAATTTAATTATAGATTACCTCCTTTGATTAGAGTTTGGTAGCAATCTTTTCCATATACTCAAGAAAATACACAAATGCTTCTTGATGGTTAACAAATCAAATACATTAATCAACTTTCGTATTATGCTACTAAACAAGAAATTTGGCCAGTCTATCTCTGCATTTACCAACAAGAAAAACAAAAGCATTAAGGGTCTGTTTGTTTGGATGGAAAAGGTTTTCCGGAAAACATTTTCCATGTTTTCCATTGTTTGGTTGATAATTAATTTGGGAAAATAATTTCTGACAGAAAATAAGTTACACCCACGGGCGGAAAACAACTTCCTTATCCATGATTGTGAAGTTATTTTCCTTTCGTCTTCTTTTCACAGCCTCTTCATCAAGAAAAGACCAAACTCTTACTTTTTCGCAGCGACATCTCCTCAACTCCGGCAAATAAAAGCCTCAAGCGATACCATCGATAAAAGCCTCCGGCGACATCTCATCAGCAAACAAATCCCTTCTTCGCAGGCGGCATCTCCAACTCCGGTAAAGATCCACTTTCGGAGGTAACAGATCATCTCCCTTCCCCTCCTCTCTCTCTCTCTCTCATTTTTTTTCCTTTAAAAGCGGCCAATATCAGTTTGAAAAATTTGTCCTTATTAGTTTTTTTCCTCCCTTTTCCTTTGAAAAATTGTCTAGAATTACTGGTGTAGATTCTTGAAGTTGGATTTGAATGAATTTTTGTGGTTGCTTTTGTTTTAGTTTGTTCTTACCGGATTAGGGCTATATTTGATTTAATTGATGCTAATGAATTAATTTGGCTGCTGAGTTTTGGGGGTTTTTGATACTTGGAATCTGATTATTAATCTTGGCGCTTTTGTCTCGGCCCTCTAACTTGCTCAGAATCCGGGTAGGGTAGGGTAGGGTAGTGTTTTTCTTACAATCTGGTGAGAAGATGCTCTGGAAGAGGAGAGGATGGGAGTGTGAAATGTGGAAGTAGTGGACGGTGTCACTGCTCAAGGAAAAGGTTGTTATTTTCCGTCCTCTTAGATTTTTCAAATTTCATTTTGTTGTCTTTTTTGTGGTATTTATGGCCACTGTCTTCATTTTTTTTTAAAATTCCCTTAGCAGGAAACACAGGGTGAAGAGATCAATCAAAGTACCTGCTATCAGTAACAAGCTTGCGGATATCCCTCCCGATGAGTACTCTTGGAGGAAGTATGGCCAGAAACCAATCAAAGGTTCACCTCATCCCAGGTACATTGCTAGTCTCTGCTATTCCATGATGGAGCTTGCTTTGACTTGCAGTAAAATCCATAGAAAAATCATCAGTTATTTATTATTATGCTTCTTGACCTACTTACTTTACTGTGCCCTCTCAGTGGAGTGATCTACAGTTTAGCTTTTAATTGCATCTCATCCACTTTGAATTTTGAAGTGAAAACGCTATAGTGCCAGGAATTGTTGCTCGTCTTTGATTCAGTTTTAGTTTGGCAAAAGGAAGGATTTGTTTCTTCTCCAATCCTATTTGCGTTTTATGTTTCTCTGATTCTTGGTGTGCTTGAGAGCTTCTTGGAAGTCGTGACATAATTATTTTATGAGCCTAACATTTAATCTTATCTCGGCCTTCAATGTGGGAGGGCTGAGGAGAAGAGTTGATCTCCAAGTGCCTAGATTCAACATTCGCTGATCTCTGTGCAGGGGATATTACAAGTGCAGCAACATGAGAGGCTGCCCTGCCATAAAGCATGTGGAGGATGCTTGGAGGAGCCTTCAATGCTGATTGTCACCTACGAAGGAGAACATAACCATCCAAGATTGCCATCATAATCAGCAAATACGTGAGACTTGTGGTCATCAAGCTTTTGGTTGTCCCGATTGCTCCTGTACACATCATGTCGCACTTGTTCAAGCTTGAGGTACAGGGGAACGAGCGTCTGGTGAAAAAAAAAAGAAGAGAAGTTGGATTTTGAACCTTATTAGGTCTGGGAGCATACATTCTTGTTGTCATGATTTTAGAATTAGATGGGCTGTCATGATTTTCATTCTTGTTGCTATTGTTGTTATTTCGTTTACCTGTCTTATTTAGAGCAATTGAGTTATAATAGGTTGTGCTTCACGGGTGGACTTGATGCTTCTCTCACGTGTTAAGATATTTATTTTTCCTGGTTGTTTTTCAGCACCATTGAACCTTAGAGGTGATCTAGAAGTGAAAAAAGGAGGGCTGACTGAGTACCCTGCCACTTGCTGTGGCCATGGGAAGTTGTAGATGCAGGCCAACTGGATTTGTTCAAAGCTCTGGTCACTAAGTTTTTTCCTGTAAAATGTTCACATGAACATTGGTGACGTGTTGTACATATTTTTACTTTTGTAACCATTATTTACTACCTGGGCAACTGATATTTTTGGGACCGTTTTCCATTTGGAGATGTGATTTTCATTTTTGTTGAGCAATATTTTATATTTTGGCATATATTTGCCTCTGTATGTATTGAATTGTTCCAGATTTTTGATCCAACTGAGGCTGACAACATTTAAAGCAGGGATTTGAGTCACTCTAGGCTTGATAGGTGCTTTTATGTACCAATGGTTCTAATTTTGTACCATAAAATATGTGTTTTATTTAGTTCATTTCACAAAAGATGTTGTTTCTAGTGCAGTGGTTATCTAATTTTTTTTAGTATCACTGATTTGAGACAATAAAGAAAATGTTGTGGCATCCAATTTGATAGAAGAGACTCTCGGCCCTTAATGATTATTTTTAAAAGGAAGATAAAAAGCCATTTCATTAGTATCATTAATAATTCCATTTAAGAATTCATGATGTAATATGAATACATATTTTATAAAAATGATAATATGATTATAATGGATAGAAATTAAAATTAACTTGTAATGAAATAAATGTTTTGAGAGTAGAAAAACAGTTGCAACATATTAACAAATATATCAGAAAATATTTTCATTGACAAACCAAACATCGGAAAATTAGGAAAAAAGAAATTTGGAAAATATTTTCAGTTAATAACCAAACACTGGAAAATTATGAAAAAGGAAGTGATTTTCCAGGAAAATGACTTCGATGGAAAATATTTTCCCTAGGAAAATATTTTCAGTGCAACCAAACGGACCCTAAGTTTTTCCGGACAACCTTTGGTGCAGTATGGATATTAATGTTGGAAGATAGATGTTCAAGCAAACGTTAATAATATTATTTCAACCGAACACTTACAAGTTACAATCCTACTTGGTGGTTTGCTTGGTAATATAACAGCAATGATATGTGTTTTGCATAAGTGAAATGACTCATATTCAGTCCTTGATTACGGATTTGGTATAAGCCTTAATCCATACAGATACAGAGTACGAAACTCATAAAATCCCCCTTTCTACACAAAAGGTGAAGCTTGCACGCTTGAAAGCGTCCAGCAGCAACTTTTGTCAAAATGAAAAACTGACGAGTAGTTGAAACTTTTCGGCCTAATGGCCTAAAGGCTCATGCGTTTGGTTGGAGTTGGACTTTTGGGTTCGCCAGCAGATTACGTTTGGAAACACCTGTCCCACTATTTATTCTACGCTGGTGAAGGCAGTATATCAGCAGCGGTTAATGAACCACTTCTTGAAAAGGGTGGGTCTTAATACTCTGTTTGGACGGTAGGTGGGAGTTCAAATTTCATTCATAGCAAAAAAAAATCAAAAATTGTGCCAAAAAACACTCTTGGTCTAGTAACGTCGTCCACTCCTCTAGTTTAGAATAGATAGATTATACAATAGTTGTCGTTTTAAAAAAAAAAAAAACTGCTTATTGGTTGAATTTTCACGCCCTGTTCATTTGAATTTTAAGATGGTTAACACTTAATGGTCTAATCTTCTGTGAATTTTTTTTTCTGTGAATTACTAAGAAGCCTGAAATCCGAATTATCCACACACACACATTTAATGATGAAATGCTTGCATCTATTCTTCTATATTAAAAGTAGTGTTTCATATTGCAGCTCCTTGATTCTTCCTTGTAATCTCCTTTCCTTTAGTGAGCAATTACTCTGCTTCTCTGAGCATGTCAAACGCTTATCAAGACAAGCAAGTTCTCATTATGGTGCTCACTTTCTTAACAACAAAGTAAAGATAAAATGCACCATATCATATGATAGACCGTCGGAATTCTGTCTTACACAAATACCAATTTCATTCATCATCAGTCAAACTTTGCAACACTTGTACGAGTTATCAACAAAAGCATTCCTCCCGCCAGACATTCTTCCAAGTCAAAAAGACCAAAGGCGATCGCCCCTTTTTCTCTTTCTCTCTCTCTTTTTTCTCCACTATATTTAAGCTTTTGCCCAGCACCATGATTAGTACGAAGGAGAAGTCTGGATTCTATCAAGAACTTGAAGCGCATCTTTCATGGAAGGTCTCTTTTGCGGGTTTAATGAAGCACAACTAAAGCCTAGCTTAAAGCATTCCAGCATGGCATCCTCCCTGTTTGCCACGTCTCCTCTAATTGCCACATCAGCCAACCGTAACACCCGGTTCTTGTCTTCCATCA